ACTCACCGGGTCGTCAGCGCTGTTCAATGACGTTCCAAAAAAAGTTTCGTAAAGAAAAAACGTTCCTGTAGTGTTTTATTTAGCATTTTGTAAATCCCATTGAGTTCTGTTGGAATAGTCAATATCCCTCCGCCACCGGAAACGGAAATGGGGCCTGTTTACGCTTAGTTGTAGTCTTTTCGCAAGGCCCAAGTGTTTCTGCTTCACTCTGTGTACTCCGACGTCGAGGTGCTAACGTCTCTGTTAAACACTTTAAAAAACTCTGAAAATGGAATACGAAAGGTGGATTCTTGAGGAGGACATATTCATATACATTCCCAAAGTATAGAGACATTGTCGCCAACTAGTGGTCTGGAGTGTGCAACGCTTCAGATTTGAACGGGAAGCGGAAGTTTATAAGCGGTTGTGATGTATCGGAAAAAATAGTTCTGGGATTTACAAAATGCTAAATAAAACAAGACAGGAACGGTTTTTCTTCACGAAACTTTTTTTGGAACGTCATTGAACAGCGCTGACGACCCGGTGAGTAGCATATTTTAAAAAAAGAACGTTTAAGGTTGTTTTAAGGACATTATCGGACATGCACAATGGAAGCCATTCTGAAGCAGCCAGGGGGGGATTCTAAATGAGCCAAAAAGCAGAGACAGGACCAATTGTCAAAATTTTGGTGTCGATCATTCGATTTCATCCTGGACACTACAGAAAATGGGCTAAAAGTGTTAAAAACCAGAATTCTCCTTTAACCTTAAACAGATGGGCTGGCCTCAGATTCCAGCTTTCCGCTGTCATTGCAACCCCAACTCCTGTACAGGAGAGCGGAGGACCTCGCCTGTTCAGACAGGCCAGCAAATCCCTTTAATTACCCCCCTTTCAGAGACATAGACAGGTACAGGGCACTGCAGGCTACCATATACCCCATTTACACTACCCTTGACAAACTGTGCTGAGACCGGTCCGAGCTCAGTAACTGAGATAACTTATCGTGTGTAAATGGAAAGCAAATTGAACTGAACTGAACAGAGCTAGATACAACCGAACCGATGGGTGTGAAGGAAGTCAACTATGTTAAGTTAGAAAAACCAACATTTAACAGAGGTGATAGACTCAGATTTCAGCTTTCAAAAACCTACAATGAAGCAATTAAGTTAGTTCCTTCCTGCTATCATCGCAACCCAGAAGGCTTTGCCTTTTCAGGCCAAAATTCCCTTTAACAAACCCCTTTCAGAGACTTAGACAGGTATTAGAGGCTAACAAAAGAACCCAAAAGACCCCCCTTCCAAAGGGTTGGATCCATTCGTTCGCTTCAATTTGCACATTTTTTAAACAAAAATAAGGCTTTTTTTTGGTCCATTCTATAAAGCCTGGAACTGAATTGAAAAAGCTTCCTGGATGGGAAGCAAAAAGCCTTCAAACTGAGAAACAAAGTCAAGTTGATGGTTTTTTAAATTTTTTGGAATGACTAAAGCTACACATGAAGACCTAGGAGGAGCTCTACTATTTCAACACCTTTAAGTATTTAGGAAAACATATTCAGGGTGGGTGGGGATAATTTAAAGTTTTTTTCTATAATTAAAAATGCTGATGAAGGTTCTCAGTCATCCAGGTCATAGTCATTCCGTAAAAATTCAAAAAATATCCACTGGACTTAAAAATCTATTTGCATCTATTTGCATATTTATTAGTCAACAGTGAACAAGTTAATAAGACTTTAGATTTTAACCGTAACTATTTAACATCAGTAAAAAGCCTTAAATCCTAAATGACCTTTTCAAATATGATCCATTAAAGAACAGTTAGTTTTTCAAAGCTATAACTTGCTATGTGCTCTTTAAGAGCTGAGGGGCTTTTGGATTTATTTTTTACTTATTGTTAAAGAATAAGGAAAGGCTATAAATAAATGCAGTTTAGTTTGACTTTGTGTTAGTAATCTGACTATGGCTCTTGACCTCTGCATGTTTTGACATATTTCTAGATGAGGAATTTTAAATTCCCATCTCCATATCTTCCCCGATTAGCCAGATGTTTTTCCCAGATTTTCCCATGTTACCCAGATAATCTGGATAACCTCGGAGAGCAGGTTTATGTGATGAGGGAACAATGATTTGGGGACCCTTTCTTGCACTGAATCTGTAAAGATGTCTGCAAAGGAAGGTGACGATAGAGGAGGTGGAAAGTACCGTACATTTTCTGTAACACAAAATCTTTCAGGCAAGATATGGGCAGGAGGCGGGACTTCAATTCAGTTTATTTCTATAGCGCCAATTCACATCACATGTCATTTCAAGGCACGTTACCATTCAAGCAGATCCTACAGTCACATTGATTCAAAGTTTTCTATCTAGAGCCAGGCATTCACTGTGTGATATTTTCAATCGTTACACGCAGCCATAGCTCAAACTGTACGACGAAACCTCAGGGTTTAAAAGTTCAGATCTCATGATGTATGCTCTCACACTGTGCGACCCAACGCTCTGATCCGATCTGCCTGCTCACACTGTACGACCAAAAAACACCCGACTCAGCGCGAGAGATGGCGCTGTTCGAACGCGTCAATCTGGAAGAAGAAGAAGAACTCCCTTGTTTGCACATGCGCTGTGCTCCAGGTTCTGATAAATCGGCTCGTAGCTCTGCTTCAACAGCAGGATTCGCCCACAACGGCCGACTAAATTCCCAACCTGTATGATTTTCTCCCGACCTTACGATTCCTGTTCAGGTGGTGACCTTGAGAGGCTGATCGCCGCCCGTTACCCCCTGTATACTACACAAAGCCGGCCCGATTGACAAAAATTCTCGCATGACTGGAGAATCAGCCCCGAGAAGGGCAAAAACATTTAAGGAAAACTAGCTGATTGCATCAACTCATTGACTCGAAGGCAATCCCTCTCACTAATCATGCATGGAGCGACAGTGGAGAGGAAAAACCCTCTTTTAACACGAAGACTCCTGAAGAGAACCAGACTCAGAGTGAGCGGCCATTTTCTGAGGCTGACTGGGGTTCAAGGAGACAAGCAATGATACATATATAACTTCCTGGAACGTTAACCCGGAGCGCAGAGAATGAGCTCATATGTTAGACATATTGGAGTCCGGTAGTATTGAATCTGCAATTCATGTGGAGAATAGTTTAGGTATCTGTATTTTAAATAAAAGCACTTCTTAATAAACATTCATATCCAAACCCGTTCATGGATACATGAGCTGCTGCTTTTCTGCATTTATTTTCTGCCCATTCTAGATCACATCTCCCCATCCTATCTGTTCTAATCTCATACTAGTTCTGTTTCTTTTTAAACTTTAACGCCATGCACAAATAAGGAAACAATGAGAAAGTCAGATCTATGACGCTTAGCTACCTGCAGTAAATATTAAAAGCCTCTGAGGCAATTTAAGTGAACAAGCAAAGAGGATAAAGTCAGAATGTCACAGAATTACTACATATAGAAAATAGTGCAAATTGTAGAACCCAACTAACAACAGAAGAGCTCCACTAGCTCGTGTTAAAAGTCAAAAATAAAAGAGGCAAGAGACATCTCTCCCTTCATGTCGACTTTTTCTCCTCACTTGGCAGCTCTGGGATCGAACCCAGTTTTCCCTACAGCATCTTTTTTTTCTGTAGCTGTTTATTTGGACCTGTTTTATAAATTGTTCTTGCAGCTCTGGGATATCCAGCTGTAATAGCTCAACTCTGAAAGCTGTCACCCAGATAAATCCCTTAATCTTTAACCGTCACATAACAGCGTTTTGGATAAAATGCCATTAAATGTTGACCCTGTGGTGGTGATATATACAGAGAGAGGACAGCAGAAGGTCTGATCTATTCATGAACCCCAAAAAAAGGATATTCCAGCCCATTATTGTTACAAGGAAAGACAACATTTTGTAAATGGAAATAAAAAAACTCATAATTAAAAAAAGATCCTGTTCTTTCCACTTCTTGTTTCGCTTGAGTGAGGATTATAAGTATGTCATTCCCACAATGTTAAAAGCAATCCACTGGACTCTGTTTCTAAGATTGAAGACGTTTCGCTTCCCATCCAGGAAGTTTTTTCAATTCCAAATGTCAGGAATAGTGTTGAGTTTAAGGATTTATAAAGTAGCCCAACAATGCCTTGTTTTTGTGTAGAACACATGCAAAATGAAACGGAAAAAGGGGTCCATCCCTTTGGAATGAAGGTTGTTTGGCTTCTTTGTTTGAACTGTTGGTCTGGCTGACTAGGCGGGGAACAGGAGGCCTCGCTTATTCAGCCAGGCCAACAATTCTCTGTTCAATTTGAATGTTTTCTAAGAAAAAACAAGGCTTTGTTTTTGGTGCACTCTATAAAGCCTTGAACTCAGCGCTATTTCTGACATTTTTAATTGAAAAACCTTCCTGGATGGGAACCGAAACATCTTCAAACTTGGAAACAAAGTCCAGTGGAACTTTTTTGGATGAGCAAAGAAGCATTTCTACGTTACCGACATTTCATTGGTGAAGTGTCAGATTCGTTGATAGTAAAAAATGCAATTTATAACACTCATCTAAAAAAGAGAAATAGAAAAATAACTTTGTGAATGTAACATTTGTAAAAAGATATATAATAAAAAAGGAGGGTAAAAAAAAGTAATTTTTTGGAAAAATAAAACAGAAAAACTTTTTAAAAAGAAAATCTGAGGAAAACATCAAAGTTTCTCAAACCCGTTTTTATTAAAAACTAAATCTGTCGTGTGTAAAAGTTCTCGCTTAGAACAAAACCCTTTACAGGAAAACGACAAAGAAGGAAACAAACTCGCTGCCTCTTAGTCAAGTTTGTTTTTTTTTCTTTGGTGGGAGATTTTAATTGTTACACTAAAAAGATGATGAATATGAGGAAATGAAAGTAATGAAATAGATGTCTTTCTGGCAGTAACCTCTCTGACTCGAGTCTGACTCCCTTTTATGTTTCTCTCTATCTTCCTGTTTCCTGTCTTTGGCTCCACCCTCCCCGTCCCGTCCCGTACCTGCCTTGCCCTTGCTCCAATAGAGAGATTCACACATGGAGAACTCTGAGCGTGGGGTATCGTATGCTTACTTTTAGACATAAACACATCCACTCCGTTGCTCATTGCGACTCTCACTTGCTGACATTTTTTCTAGATTTCTGCTTTGTCACATTTTTGGATTGATTAGGGCTGGACAAAGATTTCTGCATATAGATACCTTTATTATAATTCATGCAGAGAGTATTACAGATTATATGGACACTGCAATGGAAGTAGAACAGGAAAGGAAAAACAGAAAAAAAGGAGATAGAAGGGAGATAAGGATGAAACTATTAGTTTGTTTGGATTGCATACAGTAGGAAGAAAGATTTTCATAAATTGACTATTTTTGCTGTTTTTCTTGCATCTTCCAGTTAAAATATTCACTCATTCATTACGTAGCCCTGAGTTTTGTAATGGATTTTCTCACTCTTAATTCGCATAATTTCTGGCCATGTCTTTTTAATCCTGCAGCAGATTATATATAAGTATATAAGTATTATAAGTATAAGAATCACATAAGAATAGACTATTGAATGCAATTCAGTTTATTTATATAGCGCAAGGCACGTCAACCACATCATCCAGTCAAATTGATTCAAAG